CCCACATCACCGGAAAGGGCTGAGGCAGATCCTCTCTGGGTGAGTCCCTTTCCCGTAACATATAGAAATGTTATAGGAAAGAAGTGAGCCAAGGTGGGGCTGCTGTTAACTCATGGAGAAGTCTAGGATAGAAGAAGCAACGGGAGAGAGCCTAGCTCTGGCTCCCTAGAAATGTTATAGGAAAGAAGTGAGACGCACTGAGCTGCTTAGACTCACTGACAAGTAAAAGTTGCAGTTACAGAAGTGAGCCAAGGTGAGGCTGCTGTTAGCTCACTGAAAAGTCAGGGAAAAGGGGACCTTGGAGACAGGTTCAAGGGGTTAGTCCACAATGAGCTGCTGCGGCCCGTTGCTCCCGATTGTCAGTCTCACGGGGGTCCTTAGAGTCCATGAGAGAAAAATAAAGATGCACGCTTGAGGTGGAAGAGAAGTGTGGGTGTGCTCCAGAGGGAACCATGCTAGGTCTCTGTCATGAGGGTTCTTATCTGTTTTCTAAAGGTAGGCATTTTAGGGGAGGTCTTAGGGGAGGTTCTCAATAGAACACTCATTAGTTTTATGCTGATGCCCCAAAAGGAGAATTGTTCCCCTGACTTCACCCATCCTTGGGTGTGGTTGGCACAAATAGCACTAATTGGATTTCTGTTATCTATCTCTCTAAGGTGATTTAAGCTATTTACCCTTTGGTTAGGGAGAAGTATAAACCATTTACTCTCAAGTGTATTTGGTTACAGAAGGTAGGATTTTGCAGTTTACTAGATGGCTGTAAACTGCTTGGCCATTTAACTGTCTCAGTTTCCCTATTCCACCTGTCCTGGCTTACTTGCCTGTCTCATTCAATTGGGAAACATCAGGGGTTTTTTTCTTCCTCAAGAATCATACAAAGCTCACCCAGAATCAGAAGAACTATACCTACACTGGCACCTTGGAATCTTTCTACTTCCTTTCTGTTGTTGTTTGGTCCTAGAGCCAGGTCTAGCAATACTGTCATCTGCCAAATTTGCCACAAAGCCAAAAGCTGCCTTTGCCATGGCCTTGATGGGAAGGAAAAACTTTTCCTTTACCCTCTTAGGTTCATCATTAAACTAACAAAATTTAATTCAAAATTTTTAATTAAATTTAATTTAATTTGAATTAAATTTTGTTAGTTTTGAATTAAACTACAAAAGATAGCTTAGCAAGAGAAAAGACAGATTTTTATTCACATATATATGATATATGGAAGAGATCACAGAAAAGTGTGGCTCCAGAAGGCTCTTGGAGATTGAGCTTATTTACCATCTTAACAGGAGGTGGGGAAGGGGAGAAAGGTGGTTATGGAAAAACAAATGACTTCTAAATAGGGAAGGGGGAGAAAGGACACTTAAGAGAGAACTTTTGGGAAAGACTTTTGGGAAAGATAAATGGGCCCTTAGGAGAATAGATGAGAATTTTATAACAATGACATCTGTTTAGATGTGGTGTCTACTTCAGGTCAGTCTTCCCTATTTTCAGAGAGGGTCTTTATGACAATTGAGTTCTTTTGGAAGGCATGCCATTTAGGTAGATAAGGAGGTATGAGGGGAGGGGTAGCCTATTCTTAAATGCCTTTAGCTCAAAATAATTTGTATGGTGCAGTGGCTATTCTGGACCTCTTCAGCCTTATTCCAAGGGTTGGCTATTGATCAGACTCAACTGATGCTGTGTTGTGATCGCTGTTGGCACTCACTACAAATCCTCCTTACCTACCAATGCCTCAAACTGCTGCTACCCAGAACCACACCTTACAGTGACAACCTTCCCCTGCAGTGCTCATTTTGGTCCTGCCCTACTGTCTGCTGCTCAGGAACCATTGTGGTCTCCATTCCTGAAACCGGTATTATTCGAATTTCCAAATATACTGATATGTTAAGAGTCCTCCCACCTAAAGTATGACTTCATTTTCTGGAGTGAGAGCTGCCCCTGTGGAGAGTTTCCAACCAAGTCTTACAGGGCCAGGGGAAGACTATTAGTCTTTAGGTTAAGATTTCAACTCAGAATAGCCATATATATTATACACACACACACATTTATGCAAGTCTAGGGAGGAAGATGTTCTCAGCCACAATTGCTCCAAGTCATGTGACCTCTCTCCATCTTCTACCTTTGCTTATTTAAACTCTTGGCTTTGTTCCTTCTAACTCTTCCACTGGTCAACATAGGCTGTGTCTAGAGGACATCCTTAGATCCTCTGGGTGGGAGACTTTCAAGTTACAAATAAAATCCCAGAGGATTTTGATTGGCTCTAGTGGAGTCACTTGCTCATCCTTGAGTCAATTACTGTGGCCAGAGTAGGAAGAGCTCTACAATTGGCAGCCCCAGGACGAGCAAAAGAAGGTAAGTTTTAAGAAACAGAATATTAGGCAGACAAAAACAACAGATGTTCATAAATACCAGAGCTCCTATAAAAAACATATAACCTTATTTTGAAATGGGCAATGGACTTGAATAGATGTCTTTCCAAAGAAGGTATACAGATGGTCAGTAAGCAAAAGATGCTCGATATCATTAGTTGTTGGGGACTACTTTTTGTGGTATCCGAAACTGTAGTCCCATTCAAGCAAGGCCTTGAAAGAGGTCTGTAAGTCTTGAAGGGAAAGCTGGGAATGCAGGAGGCAGGCATGATCCAATGCTAACACTGAGGGTTCCCGTGGCAAATCATGCATGAAAAATGCATTGTACCCTTTGAAGCTTGCTTTGCTTTGTATAGCCCTGTTAATATAAACCAGATGTTTAAGCTCCAGACAGAAGGAGTGAATTTCTGAATTCAGGAGCCATGCCTTAACGACCACCTGGCATCAGCATGTCCAACAGACCCTGGTCTGAAGCAAATCTGTGTTCCTTCAATTGTTATCTATGAACCATATCTGTTTTCTGTAACTATAGCCTTTAGGCATTGATTGATAAGGTTTGCATGCATGCTATATACACCTACACCTACAGATTCCAATAAAACCCACTTCAGGGAAGGGTTTAGGGCATTCTTCACTAGAGGGAATCACCACCCCCTTTCCCATCAGACTGACTGTGTTTGGGAAAACTCATTTCTTTGTCCCCAACTGAGAGAACTCCACGGGTTGAAGTTCCCCTCAAATAGTCATCATGGAAATGCAAATCAAAACCACATTTCATAATCACTACTGAAACTTGAAAAGTAAGCATTCATGCTACCTGTCACTACCAGAACCAATAAATAGAGACAAGGATTGAGTCTTTATAGACGCTTAATTCAGATGCTGGTAATCTGAGAAGACAGCAGATTATCTATGCTTAAAACCAATCTTAACATTTCATCTCAAAGTGACCTTTTTATAAAGAGAAGAAAGGGTAGGTAAGGGGTTTGAGAAAAAAAGGTTAATTGGATAAGAGTTCCTAGTACTTCTTTGTCTGTTCATTAACAATTTTTTATCTGCACGCCCTGGGTGGAACTCAATGGCTCAGACACCATCTTCATTGCTTGTAAACCCCCTGGGGCACAAAGGCTGAATTGCTTGTGGACCTCCTAGAGTCAAGTAGATCATGTATTCTAGTTTCTGGAATAACAGATTTCCACATGCATTAATCATTTAAGCCTATCAACTACAACTAAGGCTAAAATCTTTAACCTTTGGATTCCCCTATCACTAGGACGACTAATGAAAATATCAGTTAATAACAAGTGTTGACAAGAATGTGGAGAAATCAGAATCTTCATACAATGCTGTTAGGAGTGTAAAATGGAGCAGCTACTGTAGAAAACAGCCTGGCAGTTACCCAAATTATTTAACATAGAGTTATCATGTGACTCAGCTGTTTCACTCCTAGTTATGTGGATTCAGATATAGATATACCCAAGATAAGTGAAAATATATTATGCACAAAAATTGTACATAAACATTCATAGCAGCATTATTCATAATAGCCAAAAGTTGCAATCAACATTCTGATGTATGGAAAAACAAAATATAGTATACATATAATGCAATATTATTCAGTCATAAAAAGAAATGAAGTACTGACACATGCTGCAATATGGAAATATTACATTAACACTGAAAATATTACATTAAGTGGAAAAGCTAGTCACAAAAACACCACACATAGAATTCCATTAGCATTAAACGTCCAGAATGCGTAAATCTATAGAGACAGGAAGATCAGTGGTGGGCTACGGGTGGAGTTGGGAGGATTGGGACTGATAGCTAAAAGGTACAAGGTTTCTTTTGGGAAATAGAAATTATTTCCATAATTAGGGTTTGCTCTGTGTGTCCTGCTCCTTCCTTTGGGGCCGCTAAGAGATGGAGGGGCTCAATCTAAAGCAAGACAGATTGAGTTTCAATCCTGCTTTCATATCCTAACAGTTAACTGTCTTCAAAAGCAACATAGGGACCCTGGAAACACTGATTTGTAACAATATACATTAGGGTTAATGATATATCGTGTCTGGTGCACAGTAAACGGGTAGACGCTTAATAAATTTTATTTTGTGTGTGTATATGTGTGTGAGTAACACTTTATGCGTATATACACACGCGAACAAGGGATCTTTGGACAGGTTCTGGAGTAAGCTCTGGAGGGCCGGTTGGTGTCCCGGATCTCGGCCCCCGGCGCCCTTGTTTCTCAGGCTATGATGCAGTGAGGCAGCAGAGCAACCCGCCAACCCTAGAAAGAAAGGTCTCGCACCCTGGGGCGGAGGAAAAGTAAACAGCGAGACCCAAAGGCGTGTGGAGGCCGCCCCACCCAGCAGAGAGCAAGGCTACTTAACTGTGGGGGCCGGGAACCGAACTCCAAAGGCGGCGGAGGATGGAAAACCACACTCACCTCGCGCTCCGCCCAGAGCGGAGAACAATGCACTCAGCCCTGAACAAGGACGCTCGCGGTGCCGCTGGCGGGGGCCTGACGGGAAATGTAGTGTCTGAAGCTTGGCCCGCGCAGTCCCACTGTTCGCTGGCTGGGGCCACGTACAACTACAAGTCCCATCACGCTCCGCAAGGCCTTGATCTTCCGGCTTTTGCAAGGGAGTGGAGCGAACATGGCTGAAGGCAGTCCGGGTGTCCCAACGTGCAGTGGGGTGAGCCGCGGACAGGTCCCGGTCCCCAGCAGTGGCGCCTGCAACTTTCCAGAGTACGAGGTTCCCGAACTAAACACGCGTGCTTTCCACGTGGGCGCCTTCGGGGAGCAGTGGCGTGGCCGGCTGCGCGGGCAAGGGGATTTGTCGCTGAAAGAGCCGCCGGCATCCGCGCTGCCTGAGCCAGGAGGGGTCGCCGACTCCGCCTGGGAGGATGCCGCCGTGGCCCGGGATCTGGGCTGTAGTATGGAGGCGGCAGCCGAGCTAAGGGCAGTTTGCGGGTGAGTGCGGGCCGAGGGGCTTTTGCTGCTTGGGGCCAACCCGGGTGCAGCTTTACTCCTGTGCTCCCTGGAACCCTTCTTTGGGAGGGCCTGTCGTATACTCTGAGGGCAGAAGAACTGCCCTTCAAAAGCTTTCAACCTGGCTAAAGCTTTCCCGCAACATTGGGAGAGGAATGGTATTGGGAATGCACAATTTTTACAAGTTGGAGTGAAGGGATGAGAGAACTGCATAAAAGATTAATTTTTCTATTCGCTAATTAATAATGTGCTTGTTAACGTAGAAAAGCAATCGGTAACAGCGACGCGTACCTGCCGTTGACAGATGCTTTGACAATAGAGGAACCGTAAGGCAGGAAGAGGACTGTTATCTGGTCTCTTTGGGCATCTCCCAAGTATGCTATTACTGAAGATTTTCTTCCCTACGTGCCGTAGTTGGTGTGAAAATACAAAAAAAAAATAATAATAATAACTTTTTAAAAATATTTTTTTCTTCACTTAACAATATTGGCCTCCTTCTATCGACCTTATATGCTTTTATAAGAATAGAATGTATTTATATTTCCGCACAGAAATCTTTGCCTTGAATTCTGGCCTCCTCTGAGCCACCTACTTGATTTTATCTGACTTCTTAATTCGATGGTGTATTTAGGACACTACCTGGACTCATTATAGACAAGATGCATGATTGCTTTTCCTCATGCACATTTTTTTTTTTTAAGCCTTGATAAACTGAAGTGCCTTGAGGAAGAAGAGGACCCAGAAGTCATCCCAGAGAATAGTGACCTAGTGACTTTGGGGTATGAAAGACCTTGCTTTTATTATATGGTATTATGTGCTATTTATTTAAATATTTCTTAACATTATTCAAAACTTGATTGTTGTCATCCCACCCCCTAAATTCAACCATCATTAACATTTACTCATATTGCTTTAACTGTTAAATTTTTGAGATACCTGCCCTGTGTCTCATTCTGTAGCTAGACTCATTTCAGTAAGTTGCAGACAGCATGTAGCTCCTAAAAGTATCATTCTCCTACATAATCAGAGTGGTATTATTACAACTAAAAATTAATAGCAAATATATAACTTCTAATATCCAGTCCATATTCATATTTGTGTTTATTTTTATATGTGTCTTTACAAAGGTATAGTAATCTACTTAGATTTCAGGTGCAAGCTAAATACTGTTAGTGCCTCTCAAACTATCTTGTAAAGGACCAGGGTTTGGTTTTTTTTTATTTTAATTTTTGACAGAGCCACACTTAAAAGTAGGACAAAAGTGAATTACTAGGAAAATGGAATTAAAAGACAAATACAATGAGAGTTTAAAAATTCAGGCAGGCATTTTAACTCTGTCTTTGCTTCTTTTGTAATAGCTGCCAAGTCTGCTTCCCTTCTCTACTGCTAATACTATATTGACATTAGTAACATTCGGAGTGCTGTGAAAGAAAGGATCCTGTCTTTCCTGGGTCCTGTGTTTTCTAGTGATTTATTCCTTACGCTATCATTTGTACATGCTTATTTGTTAAGAAATTGCCAGCGGCGCTTCCTTCTATGGACAGGTTCCAGACTCCTTACTTAGACATTTGAAACCTTCCACATATTATAGCTCAAATTCGCCTTTCTAGAGTCATTTTCAACCACTTTCTCTTTCAAAAGGCTCAGCATGCACATGGCCCCTGTCCTATTTGAAACCTACACCATCTTTAGGCCCTAAGATTACTTTCCATATTACTACAACCCCTCTTCCCTTCAGGAATATGTGCACTTGTAATGTCTAGAAATATTCTAACATTTTAGAAGTCTTTGAAGGCTCCCAAACTTTTTCATTTGTGTATTGCCCTTAAGCCAGTCATACTCTTTTGTTTCAGTTGGTGCACTTCAACTATTGTTGATTGATTAGTTAGATTTTTTTTCTAAAATGCACATCTGATTGGGTCACTCTCACTGAAAACCTTTCAAAGGCTCTTAGGCAGAAGTCCTGAGATCTTAAGTGGCGCACAGGCCCTCTACAGAATGGATCTTGCTGATCTTTTGAGCCCTGTCTCTGCTCGGTTCCAGCTACACTACAGTTCTTTTTTAGTCCCTGGAATGTGCTCTCAGTCCTGGCCTTTGCCTACAACACTTACTGGTCCTTATCCTTCTGGTGTTGCTGGCTTCTACTTATCCTTCAAGTATCAGCTGAAGGATTAAGGGCTTCATTTAGAACCCCTTTTATAAACGCTTATGGAGCCCTCATATCTCTCTGTTAAGATACTCATTATGTTTATGGTGTATCTATTTCTTTTTGTGTTTTTCTAGTTAGACTTAAGCTTCATAAGTTATACCTGTCACACACACTACTAATCCCCAATTCCTAGAACTTTGACATAATTGGAGAGTCAGTAGATATTTATGGAATGAGTGGAATAAATGAAATTTCCATTAACCTGAGAAAAGCGATTTTTAGAGATTGGCTGGTGATAATTATAAACAAAGCATACTATTTTTTGTTATAGTGAATAACATACTAATTGGTTTATAATGGTTTTATTAAGCCATGTTCAATAGTCATTTTTAGATTACACATTGCTTTCCCTGGCTGTTTTCTCTTACTAGATCAACTGGATCTCACTGGTTGTCTTCTTATCACTTCTATAGGAAATGTTGGTAGACTTGAATATAATATAATGTAAAAGGAGTTAGTACAGCATTCCTTAGCTGGGATTATTTTGATGTACTTTGAAACTATCATATTTAAAATGTAACTAATATATATCTAAATAGAACTGCAGATAAATTAGACATGTACCAAAATCTATATCTGTACACCTTCTCTTTCTAAATCTTTCTCCCCACCAATAATTTAAAAACATAAAAATTAAAACAAAATCTAAGTACATGACCCTTTTAATATGGCATAAAATAAATACATTTCTCCTACTTTTTTCCTTGCCTAACAAACAAGCTAGTGGAATCATTTTATGCATGTAAAGGGGAAAAATGCCAGTTGATAGAGATCGATAATCCTTTAATATATCCACAGCAAGTTAAGCAACTTATCTTTATCACTTTTGAAATTTTTTGATGACTTAAAGAGAAAATTTTAATTTCTAGGAATAGGAGAGGTTAATTGTTACTACATGGGTGCTACTGAAACCTTATCTGTCATCCCAAAAGCTTCAGCAGCATTACTTTTAATACAATAGCGATTTCAGACGAGATTGGGCATGTTCAGGGTGGTATGGCCATAGATTACAATAGCAATTTCAGTTAAATTTCAGTCTGCTCATCCTTTTCATTTCTCTAGCCAAGAAAGCACACTGTTCACAGCATCATTTAAAGGATGATAAGGGGGACTCTAGAGTCCTTCGAAAAAAGCGAGCCACAAAATTCGAGGACTATTACCCATTCACTAAAACAAATAATTTTTTTTTTAAACCTCTAATATATCTGTGCTTTGATGGAGTGCCAATTAATAAAATAGTAGCCAACTTTATAAAACAAAACTATAGGAGATGGAAGGAAACATAGCTAGAAATGCATGAGTAATAGGATAATTTAATATATCAAATCTCAGCACAAATCAGAGCAAATGATTAAAAAATGAGGAGATAGCCCTGGCTGGTGTGGCTCAGTGGATTGAGTGCCGGCCTGTGAACCAAGGGGTCACTAGTTCGATTCCTAGTTGAGGCACATGCCTGGGTTGCTGGCTGGGTCCGCAGCGGGGTCATGCAAGTGGCAACCACGCATTGATGTTTCTTTCCCTTTCTCCCTCCCTTCCCCTCTGTCTAAAAATAAATAAATGAATTCTTTAAAAAAAGATGAGATAAAAGTTCTAAACAGTGGGATAGGATGTCTTATGGAGGTATATACACACAAAATTTATGACTTGATAATAGGGATCTCATGTCATGTTCACAAAAATCGGTATGTGTTCACAAAGGGAACACCGATAACTTCTATAAAGTAGAAATACTACAAACATTTTCTGATCACAACATAATAGAATTTACTAACAACAAAATTCAAGCCATTTCACTTGAAATTTTAAAACTTACTAAATAATGTATGCGCAAAAGAAGAAAACACTGAAATGACAGACTTTTTAAAGAAATAATGATATTGAAAACACCATGTATGAGAATATAAGGAATACATTTAAAGCAGAGATTATAGGAAGATTTATTGCCCTAAACAATATATTAAAAGTGAAGAATAAAAATGAATTAAATTTCCAGCTCAGAAAACTAAAAAAAGAACAATAAATTAAATCAAAAGAAGCTGTAAGGAAGGAAGTTATAGAGATAATAGCAATATTTAATGAAAAAAAGAATAGAAAAAGGATGAATCTCATCAAAAATATCAGCTTTTTGAAGTAATTAACAAAGTAGGTAAAACATTAGATAACTTGATTAAGGGGAAAAAACAGACAAAAGCACAAACATACACTAAATGAGGATGAAATAACCATTGGAATAAATTTTTTAAATTATAAGAGACTACTTTCCAGAGTTTGGTGGTCCACTGACTGGCCACCTGTATTTTTTTGTTGTTTTTCTTTTTGTTGTTGTTGTTTTCAGATAAAGGCCTATTGGGACAGCTGTGCCTTTTTTTTTTTTTTTTTTTTTACATGCATTGGCTGTGGCTGCTTTTGTACTACAGTGGCAAGTTGAGAAGCTGTGAAGCAGACCATATGGCTCACAACCTAAAATATTTATTCGTTGGCCCTTTAAGGAAGAGTTTATTGATTCCTGCTCTACCAATATAAATTTGAAAACCTAGATGAAATAGATAACTTCCTAGGGAAATACAGGTTACTGAAATTAACCATATTAGAGTTAGAAACTTAAATAGACCAGTTTTCGTAGGAAAATAGGGGAAGTTATTTAAGAAACTATCGCACAAATTCCAGGTCCAGATAATTTCATATAAGAATTCTACCAAACAGTCAAAGACCAGATAGTCCCAAAACTTCAGGACCTTGAAAGGAAAATTTTCTTAATTCTTTTTATGAAGCAAACATAACACTGATACTTAAAGTAGATAAAGACATTACAAAGAAAGAAAACTTGAGATCAGTATCACTCCACACTCAGAAAATACTACCAAACAATCATATACCGTATTAAGAAAAAGTTACACCAGGACCAATTGGGATTTATCCCAGGAATGCAAGGTTGCCTCAATCTTAGGCCATCTATTAATATCGTATATTGTGTTAATGAATCTATGGAGAAAAATCGTTTGATTATTTCCAGAGATGCTAAGAAAGCCTTTAACAAAATCCAGTACCCATTCATGATAAAAAACTCTCAAGAAAATGGAAACCATAGAGTTACTGTTGTAATATGGTAAAATACATATACTTTAGTTGTAAAGCTAGTGTCTTGTTTAATAGAGAAGTGGACAGGCATTTCTACTCAGACCTGGAACAAGGCAAGCATGCTCATTGTCTTCACTACTTTGCAACATTGGCTATAGGTATTAACTATGCAATTTGGCAAGAGTAGATGAAGAAAAACTAGCTTTGTTTGCAAATGATAGAATACCTGGAATATCCAGAAGAATTCATTGCTGAAACAGACATGAAACACAAAAAACAAGAATTTAGTATAATAGCACGATGAGTATTGATATACAAAAAGCAATAGTCTTCATACGTAAAAAAACAAACAATTAGAGGACAAAATGATAAAGAAAATCTCATTAACAGTAGTCAAAAAGAAGGTTAAATTCTAAGGAATAAATTGAGCAAGAAACGTGTAAAATTTAGATAAGGAAAATTTCAGAACACTCCTGAAAGATTGAGAAAAAGACTTGAAAAAAATTGAAAGAGATTCTTTGTTCTTGGATAGGAATACTAAACATTGCAATGATGTCAGTTATTTCTAAGTTAATTTATAAATGAAGTGCAATCCCAATAAAAATACCGGAAGTATTGATTATTTTATGGATTTAGACAAGTTGATAATACAATTTATATGGGATATATGCAGTAATAATTAGGAAGAACTCTGATGGGGAAATTGTGAGGTCATAGTGATTTTTACCAGATATCAGAATATACTACAGTCTTTATAATTAAAACAGTGGATACTAGTTTATTAATAGACAAAAAGGCCAGTGGAATAGAAGAGTTCAGTTATATTTAAATAAGTATGGAAATTTAGTATGACACTAAATATAATAAACTCCAAAGGAGTTAGGAATCGATTATAGAGAATGAAACATACAAACCTTGGTATAGTGAAAGACTTTAAGTATGATTAAAATTAGAAGCAATGAAATAAAAAGATTAATAAAATTAACAACATAAAAATAAAGAATTTTACATGTTAAAAAAATCATAAATAAAGTCAAAAGACAGGAGCAAGACTTGGAGAAAATATAACATTCCACAAGGGCTAATAACCTTAATTACAGTTTGTGGCAAAAGTAGGTTTACAGTTGTGAGTACATGGAAGTTATTCTTGTATTATTATTTATTAATTACTGTATTATTTTCCATATAAATGAACAACCATAAAACTTCCCCACCCTGTATATTAGACCTTAACAGTGGAGGGACAGAGACCAAAAACTCAGTGGAAAAATGGGGAAGCCCTGGCCAGGTAGCTCAGTTGGTTAGAGCATTGCCTGGACACTCCAAGGTTGTGGGTTCAGTCCCCAGTCAGTACATGGTCAGTGCACGTACAAGAAACAAGTGAATTTGTAAATAAGTGGAACAAGGAACTGATGTTTCCCTCTCTTCTCTCTCTCTGTCTTTGCCCTTCTCCCTGTCTCCTTTCCTCTCTCTAAAAAATAAAAATAAAAATTTTAAAGTAAGTTATTTAAAAATGAAAAATGGGGAAAATATGTGAGCTAATAATTCACACATAAAAATGACTCACAAACATGAAAAAATGTTCAAGCATACTCCTCATTAGAGAAATGCAAATTGAATGATCCCGAGATATCTTTTCTTACTTAATCAGACTGGCACAAATTTAAAACTATGATTCTTTTGAGGAGGTTCTGCGAAAACAGGCTTTTTTTTTTCCTTACATTGCAGATGGAAATGCAAATTGCCGCAGCCCTGTCTAGAGAAATTTGGTAATGCCTAACAAAATTACAGTCACATACCTTTTGACCCAATAGTCCTATTTCTAACAATTTATACTGAAGATAGACCTCCAGCATTATGAAAGTACATATTCTATGAGGTTAGTAATTGCAGCATTGTTTATAACTGCAAAATACTTGAAATACCCTAAATGTAGGTACATAGGAGAGTGTTGAACAAACTAAGACATCCACAAAGTAGAGTGTTACTGGGCAACTATACTAAAGAATGAGGAAAGGTGAACCTATAGAGTGATTTCTTGGAAATATTGTTACATGGAAAAAGCAAAGGCTACAAGCATATGCTACCCTTCATGTACGAAAGAACATTTGCCAGGTGTCAATTTAATGGCTTTCATCTACAAATTTCTTTTTTTGTCTGCTCACTAAAAATGGGCCTTGGCCCTTTAAAGTTTTTCCTTTGCCAGCTGGCATAGTGCTAAGCTTTGTCAATAAAGGGCCCAGGAGGGAGACTTTGCAGGAAGAAAGAGTTTTGCTTCCTGGTTCGATGTGCTGGCTCAGCAGGATCCTGCAGTGCACAGAGCTTCCTCAGGGCCCAGTTCCTAGAGTTCCCACCAGTCATTAACACTCATCACTGAGACGATTTCCCTGCCACCCCACTCCACTCCCCTTGACACCTCCCCTAAGCAGCTTTTTCTGACATTCTTGAAGGTGGATTTCCAGCAGGGCCCACAGATGGTGCACCATAGCAACTTTCCTGCCATTCAGTGAGTACAAGCCATACCCTCTCCAGCAAGGTCTGGATCTCAGTCCTGGGGGTAGAAAAGGAGACTTCTTGGGCACTCTCTCTCAGACGCAGGGATAGGATATTTCTTATATCTGCTATTTCTATATTCTGTAACAACTCTGCTTCTTACTTGCCAATCCCTCATTACTCCAATTCTCTGTTAAAGTTAATAATTCTTTAGATTAATCTTCCTCTGTTCAATTTACTGCTTAATTTTTTTCCTCCTAATTGAACTCAGACTGATACAGAAAGGAATATAAGAAAACACTAAGTATCTGCTGATTTGAACAAAAGTAATGGAAAGGATAAACCAGAATTACAGAGATCGGTTATCTATGGAGATAGAAAGTAAGGAGGAAATGGGAACAGGTTATTAGTAGAGGGATAGAGGGATAGAGAGGAAATGATACTTCTCTGAGTATGTTTTTTATAACTCTGACTTTCAGAACCATAGTGATGTTTCACATGTTTTCCACATACCTCAAAAGTAATCAGACAATTAAAATCACCAGGATGTGGGTTGGGCAACCCAAAATAGAGAACAAAATCAACGAGTGAGACTGGCAGTATTATAAATGAATAACAATTACACTGAAGAGAATGGGGAAGAACTAACCTGAGCTCTGTATGGAGCATATCTTGATTAAGTTTTGTAAGGTTAAAGACAAACTGTTTATGAGTTAGTGTTTCTCATACGTGTGTAGGTTAGTAATTCTGAAAGTACACATTTTTTAGAATTAAGTTAATGGATTGTAAACAGTGGGAATCGAGTTTCTCATTTTTGGAGAAGTATAAACAAGGAAAGGTTAAAGGCTAAAGTGAATACTGTGATTTTTTCTTAGGATTGGAAATATCAGTATTAACTCATGGTTTTAAATATATAGCCGATGGAAAAATACAGAAATACAGATATTTATACATGTATGGGTTAGTATAGATGTGTTTTACCTTCCTGTGCTCAGAAGCCTAGAAACAGTGACTGCAGTAACAATGAGAATGCCTAAAGCCCGTGGTCTCCAAACACCTCTCTGCAATAAAGGAATTCAGGCTTTTAGGAGAAGTGGTTGATTCCAGGGCTGAAACAGGGAAATAGAGGATGGGCCTTGAGCTTTCTGTGGTGCCAGAAAGTAAGGACATGCAAAACAATGACAAGAAAAGACTTGTTGAAAGAACAGGAGCCAACCTGAAGAAGCTCCTAATGGCCAAAGCTAGGACAATTTGAGCAACAAAATAATGATAGTATTAGATTTTTAACCTATAGAATAAAATAAATATCTCTTAGTTTCATGTAATTGATTAAATAAAATGGAAGGAAAGAGACAGGTCTTCCTCATAATATCAGTGGATAATATAGAATGAGGAAAATAGAGAATCACCACTAGGCAAACTACAGTAATAAATGTTACAATCTACTGTGAATGCTAAAATTTCTGGATGAAAGTTTGCATAGTTTCAAAGTGTTTTCCCCTCAATACTTACCAAGTACAGAGGAAAAGTATATTTCAAGTGTAAGAACCTGGCAGACAAGGTAAACATCACCAGTAGTAAGACATACAGGTTGGGGCAAAAGTAGTCTTAGAGTTGTGAGTATGCAAAACACAGAGTTCATTCTTGTATTAATATTATTAATTATTATATTATTTTCCATATGAACTGTAAACCCAGCTTTGCCCCTCTCTGTATTACAGTTAACATCCTCAACCTCATGACGGTAAAGGACATCATCACTCCTGTGACACATTTATTTATTTATTTATTTATTTAATTAGTTAGTTAGTTAGTTATTTAGAAAGAGGGGAAGGGAGGGAGGAGAGAATCATCAGTGTGAGAGAGAAATGTTGATTGCCCTCCTTACGTGCCCCGACTGGGGGTGGAACCCCCCAGGCATGTGCCCTTATTGGGAATTGAACCCGCAACTTTTTGGTTTGTGGGATGACGCCCAACCAACTTTAGCCACACTGGCTGGGGAGTTTTGATGATATTCTTGCAGAATAAACAAGAATAAAAATTAAAAAAAAAAAATCAAGTCAACAGTAAAAAAAATGTATAGGCTTACTCCAGTCCTCAGGGAACAGCAGTCAAACCCAAATTGCAGGGCACTCTACAAAATAACTGAACAGAGCTCCTCAGAAATGTCAAGATCATGAAAGACAAGGAGAGAATGCAGAACTAAAAGACTGGAGGAAAAAAAAATGTGAGAAATGCAATATGGTGTCCTGCTTGGGATACTGGGACAGTAAAAAGGCTTCAAATTTAAATATTTGTTAAGTTCCAAAAAGGTCTGTTAATAATACTGATTAATGTTAATTTCCTGGTTTTGATAATTATTCTATGATCATATAAGATGTTAATATAGGGGAAGCCAGGTGAGAGATATAAGGGAACTCTTTGTATTATTTTGCAGCTTGTAAGACTAAAATTCATTCAAAATAAACAATTAAATATTGAAGATGCATTTAAAATTCCAGTAAAGAATGTTGAAGTTTGATTTCTCTTGTATCTATGACAGGGTTAGAAAAAGGCTTTTGGAACATCGGGAAGAAACGATAACGATAGATCGAGTCTGCAGACAAGAAACATTTGCATATGAGATGGTGAGAGTCTCATTTTTCACCTTTTCCCATGAAAACACACTGTCATTGGGTGAGTGTTAGTGATGACTGTATGGTGGCTTTATACTTAGTTGAAAGCAAAGTAAAGAAACTTTACTGGTGTTGGGAAGTAGTAGAAGAAAAAGACTGTCAGAATTCAAGTGATGACTTATTTTACTTTCAAATCTCCATTTTATTCATTTTTTTTAAAGATTTATTTTATTTTAAGAGAGAGGGGAAGGGAGGGAGAAAGAGAGGGAGAGAATCACATCATTGTATGAGAGAAACATTGATTGGTTGCCTCTTGTAGGTCCCCCAGTCGGGGGCCTGGTCTGCAACCCAGGCATGCGCCCTGACCAGGAATTGACCTTTTGGTTTGCAGAATGATGCCCAACCTACTGAGCCACACCAGTCAGGACTGTCTTTATTTTTTGCGTTTAGCATGGTCGTACTCTCAGTGTTAGGCTAAATTCATGGCCTTTCACCACTCTGTTCCTGGTATTTTTTTTCTGCTCTTGATCTTGGTTTCAGTACTTTTTTCCCTAATCCATAATCTCTTGTGTAAAATCCTCAGAAAAATTTAGGATGATGAGTAATGAGGCATTGTGTTAATAGAAATGATGGGTTTATTTAGTCCATACCCTTGAAAACCTACGACGTGTCACACTTAGTGCTGGGCACTTAATAGTGCATAGGGGCATTTATTGTCTTCCTAACTTTTTATTGTGTTAAAATTTATATAACATAAAATTTACTGTTTTAAGCACTTCTAAATGTTCATTTAAGCGGCATATATATTCAAAATGCTTTGTAAACATCATTAGAACCTTTTATCATCACAAAGAGAAATTCTATGCCCATTATAATAACTCCCCATTTTCCCTTCCCCTACCCTCTGGTAACCTCTGTTGTACTTTCTCTATGAAGTTGCTTTCTATAGATACTTCAGACAAGTGGAATCAATCATGCAATATTTGTCCTTTTGTGTCTGGCTTATTTGCATAATGTTTTAAAGGATCATCTGTGCTATAGCATGTATCAGAACTTCGTTCTTTTTTATACCTGAATAATATACTTAATTGTATGAATATAACACCTTTTGTTTATCCATTCATCTGTTGGTGGACATTTGGGTTTTTCCACCTTTTGGTTATTGTAAATAATACTGCTGTGAACATTAGTGTACAAATATGAGTTCATTTTCAGTTCTTTTTAGTATATACCTAGGAGGAGAATTGCTTGGTTATGTGATAATTAATTCTATTTTAATGTTTTGAGGAACCACCAGACTGTTTGCCACAATGGCTGCATCATTTTATACTCCCACCAGCAATGCAGGAAGGTTCCAGTTTCTCTAGTCTCATCAGTGCGCCATTTTCTGCTTTTTTATACTAGCCATCCTAGTGAGTGGGAAGTGGGATCTCTTCATGGTTTTGATTTGCATTTCTCTAATGATTGATTAGTGATTTTGGCAGCCTTTCATGTGTTTATTGGTTTGTATATCTTCTGTGGAGAAATGTCTATTAAAATTATTTGTCAATTTTTTAATAGATTTGTTATTGAATTGTAATAGTTCTTTGCATATTTTTGATACTAGACCCTTGTAATATATATAATTGAAAAATATTTTATGGCTTGCCTTTTCATGCTCTTGATAGTGTCCTTTGATATACAAAATTTTTAAAATTTGATGAAAGTGACTTTATCTGTTCTTTCATTATCTGTGTAGTTGGTGTCAGACTTAAGAAAATATTGCCTATCCAATGCTTGAATATTTTTCCCCTAAGTTTTCTTTTAAGAGTTTTGTTGTTGTAGCTCTTAGTTTAAGCCTTTGGTCATTTTTAGGTTTTTTTAAAAATTATGTTCATTCTATTACAGTTGTCTCAATTTTTACCCCTTTGCCCTCCTCCACTCATCCCACCCTGCCCTACCCCACCCCACTCCCACAGTCAATTCCCACACGTGTTGTCCACGGGTCATTCATACATGTTCTTTGTCTAGTCCCTTCCCCTTCTTTCCACCATTGTCCTCCTTCCCCATCCCCTTTGGTCGCTTTCAGTCTGCTCCATGTTTCCATGCCTATGGTTTATTTTGTTCGTTAGTTTATTTTGTTGACTAGAGTCCACTTACAGGTGAGATCATAGGATATTTGTCTTTTACTGACTGGCTTATTTCACTTAGCATATTCTCCAGTTCCATCCATGTTGTCACAAAAGGCAGGAGGTCTGTTTTTTTTTTTTTTTTTAAATGCAGATTGATTTTATTTATTTATTTTAAATGTCAAAATCCATTATAAAATATTTAAAAATTTAAATCCATTATAAAGTCTCAGCAATTTAAAACATACCAGCACAGAAATAATCAAATAGATCAATGAAATAAAATGAGCATTGTAGAAACAAATGTATGTATCTGTCTGACAATGTAGTATATGATTAAATTTATATTTCAAATAAATGGAGAAAATAGGTTTATTCAACAAATAAGGTGCATGGACCACTATTACTTGAAATAAAACAAATATAGAGCCCTGTTTCACACATTATACAAAAAATATTCAGGTGAGTTAAAAATCAGTGTGTAAAATCTGAGGAGTTTTAGGAGAAAATATAATATTTTTCTTACCCTGATGTAAAATATTCAAACCCAGAAGCTATAAAGTAAAATATGGACAATATGGCTATATTGAGCACTTAAGACTATACAGTTATATACCCATAAAAAAAGTTAAAGGACAAGTAATAGAATAGGAAAGTATTTGCAACACATCTAAAAGAGGGTTGATAGTTTTTGGTTTTTTCTTAGGGAAAAAATTCTACAAATATTTAGTCAAGAAATGGATAAATAATACCAAAAAGTCATTTAAAGCTTTTTAAAAATAATAGAAATAGGCAAGAAATAAACAAGAACAGATTTAGTTTCAACAAATAATAAAGTAACAACTAAAATAACACATCATTGTCACAATCAGATTAATAAGTATTAAATATACTGGTAATATCAAGTATTGTTGACTATGAAAGCGAATGGGTATTCATAGGCTCTTTTTTCTTCATCTTCTTAAAGCAGCCCCTTTAGCATATCTTGCATCGCTGGTTTGGTGGAGATGTATTCTTTTAGCCTTTTGTCTGGGAAACTCCTTATTTCTCCCTCCATTTTCATTGAGAGCCTTCCTGGGTAGAGTAGTCTTGGTTGCAGACCTTTGCTTTTCATGACTTGGAATGTTTCTTGCCATTCCTTTCTGGCTTGTAGTGTTTCTGTTGAGAAGTCAGCTGCTAGCCGTACCAGGACTCACTTATATGTTACTACCTCTTTTTCCCTTGCTGCCTTTAGGATTCTCTGTCTTTGATATTTGCCATTTTAATTATGATGTATTTTGCAGTGGCTGCATTGGGTTCCTCTTGAATGGGACCCTCTGTGCCTCCTGGACTTGTGTGACTTTCTCTCTTCCAATTAGGGAAGTTTTCCATCATTACTTTTTCAAACAGGTTCTCTATCCCTTGCTCCTCCTCTTCTTCTGGTATGCCTGTTGTATGGATATTATTACATTTCAGGTTGTCCAGCATTTCCATCAACACCTCTTCACTCTTTTTGAGTCTTTTTTTCATTTTCTTTCTCTTTCTGGGAGCTTTTTTCTACCTTATCCTCCAGCTTGCTGATTCTGTCCCCTGCTTCATCTAGCCTGCTTTTGATTCCTTCTACTGTGTTCTTCAATTCAGAAATTGTATTCTTCATTTCCTCTTGTCTCTTCTTGATAGTTTCTATGTCCTTTTTCATGCTGATATAGTTTTCAGTAAGTTCCTCATAGATTCCCTGTAGTTTTTGGTAATTCTCTCTGAGCTCATTGAGCTTCCTTAGAACTGTTGTTTTGAACTCAGTATCTGATCGTTTACTTGCCTCTATTTCATTTAGTTCTCTTTCTAGGGGCTCCTTCTTTTCCTTTGACTGGGGAGTTTTTCTTTGTCTCGCCATTATGTGTGAGACTTCTTTTTGCTGCTTCTTTTTAAATTGATCTGTCTCGATTTCCTGACTTTGAAGTGTAAACTCCTGTGGTAGGAGACCGCTCTTTTTTCTTTCTGGATCTGCCTCTGATGATGTCAGATATTGACCCTGTCTGACCTTACGCAGTCCATTCAAGACTTCCAGGAATTTACTGTCTGTGTCTCCTTCATTTATTAATCCAGTCACTCTGCACTCAGCAGTCAGGCTCCGGCACCACAGGGTGGGGCAGAGTCCCTCCTGGGGGCAGGGTTATTATGTTCTTTCATGCTGCTGCTCAGGGGAGTGGTCTGCCTGAAACAGATGGCTGCTGCTGTATGGGGGAGGAGTCAGCACCAGGATCTCGCTGGCTACTCTCTCCGTTCTCTCCCCAAAGCCTTGGTCTCCAATCTCTCCTCAAGTGTCTCTAGACCACTCTTTACCCGCTTTAGCCAGATATCTACTGTCTGTGGTTGCTGCTCTGTACTCAGCAGTCAGGCTACCACTGGGCCAAAGCAGAGTCCCTACTGGGGTGGGGCTATTGGGTCCTCTCACAGTGTTGTCGCTTAGGGGAGTGGTCTGCCTGGGCAAGATTGCTGCTGCCAAATGGGGGATGAGTCACCACCGGGATTCTGCCAGCTACTCTCTCAGTTCTATCCTCGAAGCTTCTTTCCCCAGTCTCTCCTCAGGAGGCTCTAGCCCACTCTGTCCCCGCCTTTGCCGGAGACAAGGGTAAGTGGCTGCAAATAAAAATTTATGCGTTGGCCCTTTAAAAGGCTCTTTGCTTCTCTAGTCACCCGTCTCTGTCAGAGAGCAACCCTGCCGCTTTTCACAGCTGGTTGTTATCTGTGTACTTTTTGGACTCTGGTGCTGTAGGCTGATGATCCCCGCTTATGGTTTAGACCCTGCTCTTCTCAGGGGGTTCCAGCTGGCCGTTTCAATATCCCTCTGGTACTGCCACCCATGAGCGCCCTGCCCACCTTCTTGAGTCTCTACCTCACTCCTTACCAGTTAGGTTGTGCTAA